TAGAAACACTCCTCCAGTCAGATACACTGTCTCTGATTACAGCCCTCATCTGTCAGTTAGAAAAATTTTCATCCAAGTCATCAGTGTCCCTGTCACTCCCTGCCAGCATGTTTCAGTTTCCAGAACAGCCTCTTGTGTGGGACTCTGTCAAAAGCCATTTTAAGGTCCAGATGTTTTTGTTTTTAGTGTTTGACTACCACAATTGTTAATGATATGGGTCGATAATTTAAAGGTTCCTCTCAAGTTCCATTTTTATAGATTGGTACAATGTTTGCCTTTTTCCATACATTTATTAACATTCCTGTGCACAAGGATGTCGAATATTATTTGGAGTGGAATGCTCAGCTTAATTGCACATTTTTTGCAGCACCCAAGGAGAAACTCCATCAAGTCCAACTGCTTTAACCCCTCAAATGCGCAATGCACCTGCAGGCCCTTGACGGGGGGTGCATAATGTGCCTCCAGGTATTTGTATTTTTCACGTTCCATTCAAAACTGGCACGTGGTGATTGATGCAAGTACGAAATGGATGCCTGGGGGCCCCAGTGATCGTCCGCCATTTTGAAAAAAAATCCCAGCATGTCCCGCGGCCGTGGGGAGCCTCAGTTTCAAAGCAGCAACCATGTATGATGCATTGTCTACGAGCTCCCGCTCCACAGTGACCAGCGGTCATGGAAAACGACTCTCTGAGGAGGAGATACGTGACCTTTATATGATGACGGTGGTATGAATAGATGACTTAGACTATGATCCAGAGAAAGACCTTACACAGAGGTCTGACAAGAGTGAGGGAGAGACTGAGGTGGATGATGTGGCAAGCGTGTACAGTACACGCGCATCGCCGCCCTGGGTTAACACCGTTATCATCACCACCACCATGTATGTTCCCAGACCCAAGTTTATTCAGTGACAGTACATACGATGAATCTTTCTCGGGCTTCAGTGACATAGGCTCCGATACGAGTAGTGTGGACAACCCAAGTACGAGCAGCAAGGGTGTTACCAGGCGAGGGTTTTGCTGCCTCAGCAACACGTCGCGGCAGGCGGCGGCGTGTCTCGCAGCAACAGGACAATGACGACAGTGGCTCCTCAACATCAGGTGTTCGTGTTAGGCCTGCATTGTGTAAATCTGCCTCATCGCCTACCATACCCTCACGCAGCTCCAGCACCAGACGACGTAGCCGCATTTTTGGTGCTCGCGGTGAGTGTAGGGTCCTCCGTGACACTCCTTCCTCAGGCCATATCAATCAAATGCAAGGCCCCCATGATATTGAAGTGGTCCTTCCAGAATTGTTTGAGGGTCAGCTCTGTGGTGTCTATCACATGAACACACCTCTCCAACAAAGCCCTCATGTACAGCTTCTTAAAGTTAGGAATGACTTGCTGGTCCATGGGTTGGAGGAGTGGAGTGGTGTTTGGAGGAAGAAACTTGATGGTGATGGTGATGAACTGATTCTCCGGGAACAGATCATCTTGCATTTGTAGAGGATGTGCAGGTGCATTATCGAGCACAAACAAGGCCTTGAGTGGTAACTCTTTCTCGACGAGATAATTTCTCACCATGGGGCTGAAAACATCATTTACCCATTCACTGAAGAAGATCCGCATGACCCAGGACTTCTTGTTGGACCTCCACATCACATTCAGCCGTGTCTTGTGCACCTTACACACCTTGAACACTTGTGGATTTTCAGAGTGGTAGATGAGCGGCGGCTTAACCGTGCAATCGCCACTTGCATTGGCGCAGAGCATGAGGGTGAGCCAATTCTTCATCGGTTTGTGGCCAGGCAACAATTGTTCCTCTTGCGTGATGTAGGTCCTCTTCGTGAATTTTTTCCAAAACAGCCCAGTCTCGTCACCATTGAGAACCTGTTGGGGCAGGAACTGTTCCCGATCAACAAATTCCTGAAACTGTGGCACAAAAGTCTCAACAGCAGCTTTATCAGAGCTGGCAGCCTCCCCATGTTGCACAACATTGTGTATATCGCTCCTCTTCCTAAAGTCCTCGAACCATCCACGGCTTGCCTTAAATAACTCGTCTTCAGATGACGCACAGTATCTTCCTGACAAGGTCCACATACAGCACCCTTGCCTTAGCACAAACGATAGCTTCAGAGACACTATCGCCATGTAATTGACGTTCATTCATCCAGACCAGCAGTAGCCTTTCAACATCATCTAGGAGTTTTGGACATTTCTTGATAACCTTGGTAACTTCTTTGGCCACGTCAAGCGTCTTAAATTGTTCCTCCCTCTTCAAAATGTGCTAATTGTTGAGGAAAACCTGCCATACTCCCTGGCGAGATCAGCCACACGAACACCACGCTCGTGCTTTGCTATGATTTCCTTCTTCACGTCCACAGTGATTGGCTCTTTCTTCCCCTTGCCAACACTTTTTTACCAAGCTGCTTCTTTGCCGACATCGAGTGTTAAGAAGTGTATGTAATCACAAACCCACACAAAACCCACGACTATCATATGCGAAACGATGCAGAGGGATACTGGTCGTGCACGACACCACAACAACACTGTCGTCGGAGGCGGCATGAACCTACCATGTGGTGTTGATGTTATTCAAACAAGCGATCATCTAACGTGTCGAATTGTTGGCGATCGGGGCGCTCATTACCCAAATTGTTCGCCATTTAAGGCGAGCAATCTCGTCACTCAAGGTACTACTGTATATACAATTTTCAGAAACATGTGCCCTTTCTCTTTGTCCTTCACTCCCCCTTCCTCTAATGATTTTGTTGCTGTGTTTTGATGTACCATTTCACTAACTTTCCAGTCATTAACACATTGTAGAAAACAAAATTTCTTTCTTCTTCACTTCTATTCCCATTTAGATGTTTCAGTTCCTCAAGGTTTGCTTTCAGCTTTTCTCTTGTCTTCCTTTGAGAGGTTTTGTCTTATTGATGAAAGTTTGCTATCCTCACCATTCAGCAATTTCCTGGCATTTCTAAGCACTTCATTACTTGTTTCTCTCCATTAAATGTCACTCTTAAGGGGCAATTTTTGTCTTTCTCATATTTTCCTATCCTTCCTATGATGTAGAATAGAACCAATGAAGAGCAGAGGTGCCATAGGCACAATCAGAGAACACATCAGAGGTCCGCGGTTGTTCAACGTCCTCCCAGCAAGCATAAGAAATATTGCCGGAACAACCGTGGACATCTTCAAGAGGAAACTAGATTTATTCCTCCAAGGAGTGCCGGACCAACCGGGCTGTGGTGGGTATGTGGGCCTGCGGGCCGCTCCAAGCAACAGCCTGGTGGACCAAACTCTCACAAGTCGAGCCTGGCCTCGGGCCGGGCTTGGGGAGTAGAGGAACTCCCAGAACCCCATCAACCAGGTATCAACCAGGTACTAAAACCCCTGACATTTTCCTTTGAATTGAACCTTCTATTAAACCTACTTTTTTCTCAATGATTTTCATCTATTCTGCAACTGTGTCCACTCTAGATGATATTTCCCTTTCTAAACACTCAAAAATTATTATGGACTTACTTCTATCTGCAGTGTTTTGTACTAATTTACTGTTGGTAACCAGTTCTTTCCAAATTGCTTGCCTAATTTCTGCTTCTTGTTGATCATGTCTGGTTTTGACTTCCCAACACACTTCCTTGATCGTCTCTCTCTCTTTTACAACTTGCGCATTTGTCTCTCTTATTTCCTCTTTGTACATTTATAGTTCTTTATTAACCTCCTTTATGTGAGTTATCCATGATGTTTCTCTTTGCATATCCTTGCCTATCTTTATGTTCGCCCTCACGGTTCCTTAGAGTTGTTCACCATATGAGTATTTTCTTGTTAATTTCTTCAAATTCCCAACTCTTCACTTTCCATACCTCATTTTCTAGCATTAGTTCCTTGATTTGTTCCTCCTGTTTCTTTAAATTGTCTGTTAAAGTGGTACTTTTCCAACTTTGCTGAGGAATGTTTCCTTTTAAAGTGCGAACCTTATTCATGAAACATTCCTTGGCTTGCTCTAATTTAAGGATCTTGTCTTCATATTCCTTTAGCCTGTTCTCAATAATCTCTAACCTGCCAAGAAAGCCTCTTTTCCTTATATTTTGTGCTGAGAATCCATCGAAACATTTATCAGCTGATGGGCTTACCTCTCTCCCGTGGTAACATACTGTTATTGACATCTTTGTTAGCCCTCTTTGTTATTGACGATCGCTTATTTTGGAGTATAAACTTTTACAATACAGAATTTTCACTCATTTTCACTTATTTCTTGTGTTTTATTTACTTTTCAACTTCCTTATACCTTTATGTAACTTGGGACACCACTAACAGCCCTCAACCTGCTCCAAATACTTCGGTAATTTGAGATTCCTGGGGCCAGTTGCAGTGTGACAATCTCCTGGTGCCTGGTGCTGTTGGACTCTCTGTAGCTGTGTTGGTGTTGGTGATTCTCTTTTTCCCAGAGCAGTTGCTTATCTCTAGCATACTTTTTAGGCTTATGAGTTGCCTCTTTCTTCGTACTGGTACACCACAAACACACTTCCTCTTTTTTGTCAGCTATTATTATTATTATTATTATTATTTTGAATTTTCATTGACAAAACATCTGAGATAGTCCACAAATGCACATTGGGTCAACGCTGGGCATGAGAATAATAATGACTAGAACAGCAAGGGTCAGCTACATGACAACTGTGGCTATGGGAAATTTTTTTCAGTACCTCCCATAGCATGCAGCCATGTGGACATAAAAGTAGAACTAACTATATTATGGAGGACGACAGCTAGTTTGCAGAGAATATCAAGACGCAAAAACAGTGAATTAGGAGGCTAATTGTAAGATCGGGTGTTTTTAAGTTGGATATTCTTAAGTCAGGGACTCCCTGTACAACTAAAATACTTGTATTCTTCATAACCATTCTACTCACAGCAGTAATACCACTTGCTATAGTTAAGGTGAGATTGTTCTTTTTATTTTTCTATCACAAATATTTATTGCAACTGGAACATTACAAAGAGTAATTGCATACCGTGTCACCTTGTTGTTCTAGTGCAGTCATAGCTGTGGTGGTCTGCTGGATGTAACCCTGGATCTGTTGAAGCTTCTCCATGATTTTCTTACTATCAACACCCTATACAAAAGAAAATAATTATACATGAAGGTACACATCTTAAATTCTTCCTAGTACAATACTGTATCAATCAATGAAATTTTTAAACCGCAATGGGATGGCATCATCATTTGCTCATTACCTGAGCCACTGTGAGTTCTGCCAGTTGATGAATATCATTATTATTGCCCAGTTTGTATACCAATGTGAATATGCATATTGTATTCACCGAGTTGTGCTTGTGGGGGTTGAACTTTGCTCTTTCTGCCCGCCTCTCAACTGTCAATCAACTGTCACTAACTACTAACTAATTTTTTTCCACACACACACACACACACACACTTACTGTACTGGGGGACTTCAACTTTAAGGCAATAGACTGGGAGGCCTACGAGGCAAGAACAGAGGACATTTGGACAGGCAGATTTGTAAACCTCATCTTGGAGACATTCATGTATCAACACGTCAAGCAGGCCACAAGAATGAGGGAAGGGGATGTTCCGTCAGTACTGGATCTAGTATTCACCAGGAAAGAAGAAGAGGTATTTGACATCCAGTACCTTCCTCCCTTGGGAAAGAGTGATCACGTCCTCTTGGACATTAAATATGCTACGCGATATAATCTAGTAGAGAATGGGGACAGTGAAACACTTGTTAAACTCGGTTTCAAGAGAGGACGCTATGGGGAACTTAGACATTTTTTTCTTGGGTATAATTGGACAGACTTGTTGCTAGGCAAGGAAGTAAATGAGATGTATGCCAAATTTTGCACAATATATGATGAAGGCACACAAACATTCATACCAAAACAGACATGCAGACCTAGGAAACAGGGCACAAGCATGGAATCATTAGAAAGAAGCCAAACCCCCAAACATACCAGCGATACAAAGAGGCAAGAAACAACTACACATCAATAAAGAGAGAGGCAGAGAGGAACTTTGAGAACGGTATAGCAGACAAATGTAAATCGGATTCAGGCCTTTTCTATAAATTCATTAAAAGCAAGCTGCAGGTAAAGGATAATATTCAGAGGTTAAAAATGGGGGACAGATACACGGAAAATGAAAAGGAAATGTGTGAAACATTAAACGAAAAGTTCCAAAGTGTGTTTGTACAAAATGAGATTTTCAGAGAACCAAACACATTAAGAATTCCAGAGAACAACATAGAGCGTATAGAGGTGTCTTGAGATGAAGTGGAAAATATGCTCAAGGAGCTAAGTAAGAACAAAGCAGTTGGTCCAAATGGAGTTTCACCATGGGTTCTGAGAGAATGTACATCTGAACTCAGCATTCCACTTCACCTTATCTTTCAGGCATCCCTGTGTACAGGAATCATAGCAGACGTGTGGAAATAGGCTAACATAGTTCCAATCTACAAAAGTGGCAGCAGGGAAGACTCCCTCAATTATAGACCAGTATCATTGATAAGTGTAATAGTGAAAATATTGGAAAAAATAATAAAAACTAAGTGGGTAGAACACCTGGAGAGAAATGATATAATATCAGACAGACAGTATGGTTTTCGATCTGGAAGATTCTGTGTATAGAATTTACTCAGTTTCTATGATAAGAGCCACAGAGATGTTACAGGAAAGAGATGGTTGGGTTGACTGCATCTATCTGGACCTAAAAAAGACTTTCGACAGAGTTCCACATAAGAGGTTGTTCTGGAAACTGGAAAATATTGGAGGGGTGACAGGTAAGCTTCTAACTTGGATGAAAAATTTTCTGACTGATAGAAAAATGAGGGCAGTAATCAGTGGCAATGTATCGGACTGGAGAAATGTCACAAGTGGAGTACCACAGGGTTCAGTTCTTGCACCGGTGATGTTCTTTGTCTACATAAATGATCTACCAGTTGGTATACAGAATTATATGAACATGTTTGCTGATGATGCTAACATAATAGGAAGGATAAGAAACTTAGATGATTGTCATGCCCTTCAAGAAGACCTGGACAAAATAAGTATATAGAGCACCACTTGGCAAATGGAATTTAATGTTAATAAATGTCATGTTATGGAATGTGGAATAGGTGAACATAGACCTCACACAACCTATAAATTATGGGAGAAATCCTTAAGGAATTCTGATAAAGAAAGAGATCTAGGGGTGGTTCTAGATAGAAAACTATCTCCTGAGGACCACATAAAGAACGTTGTGCGAGGAGCCTATGCCACGCTTTCTAACTTCAGAATTGCTTTTAAATACATGGATGGCGAAATACTAAAGAAATTGTTCACGATTTTTGTTAGGCCAAAGCTAGAATATGCAGCGGTTGTGTGGTGCCCATATCTTAAAAAGCACATCAACAAACTGGAAAAGGTGCAAAGACATGCTACCAAGTGACTCCCAGAACTGAAGGGCAAGAGCTACAAGGAGAGGTTAGAGACATTAAATATGCCAAAACTAGAAGACAGAAGAAAAGGAGGTGATATGATCACTACATACAAAATAGTCACAGGAATTGATAAAATCGACAGGGAAGATTTCCCGAGACCTGTAACTTCAAGAACAAGAGGTCATAGATTTAAACTAATTAAACATAGATGCAGAAGAAATATAAGAAAATTCACTTTCGCAAACAGCGGTAGATGGTTGGAACAAGTTAAGTGAGGTCATGGAGGCCAAAACCGCTAGTAGTTTCAAAGCGTTATACAACAAAGAGTGCTGGGTCAACGGGACACCACGAGGGTAGCTCTCATCCTGTAACTACAATTAGGTAATTACACAACCCCCCCCCTCATCTGACACTCTGAATTTTAGATCCTCAACAAGTTTGTGTTGTGCTTGGGTGGATAATGTGCCACTGATGCTTTCTTCTACCATGGTTTTCTACCTACTTTTCTCATGGGTAAGTCCTTTTGTCTTTGTTCTTATACTCTTTATGTTTTGTCACAAGATAAGTTTTCTCCTCTTGAAGGCTCTGTTGCAAACTTGAGGAGCTACTGAGAGGGGTTAAAAGAAATAGAAGCTCAAGTGTAAAGATACCCCTCTTTTGTGATTTTCCTCGGTAACTCCCCATTTCCACCCTGCTGTTCCCTTGTTTCCCAAATGGATTTGGAGGTGATATTGACAGCACATTAGTAAAAAGAGTAGCTGGCCAGAACCCCTGATGGCAGCCAGGGAAGCTGAAGCACAGGTTGTTAGCCCGTTGCTATCTTTTGCCTCGTGTTTTTAATTTCATTCCTATCTTTTAGATATGGTGTTGTTTTGTTTTGCCTATGACTTTCTAGGTGGTTTTCCTTAGTTGTTGGTTTCTCTTTGATCTTAACATTCTCATCTCACCTCCAGAAGAGAACCAGAATCTTGTCCTGGTTTCAGGTAGGCCACAAAAGTCACATGAAGGGGGGAGGACCTACAATATCCATTGTCATATACTACAGAAGAGCTACTGCTGGGCCACACAATAACTACTGCAGAACATTTTATTATACAGTGCTCTAATTTTTGTCAATTTGTGTGTTTAAATGTTTTCTACTTCATTGTTAAGATGCATTCTGTTCAAATATGAAAATTAATAAAAATGGGGAAAATACATATGTATATAAGAGTAAAAATGTGAAATTAAAATACATAAAATAACTTTGTGAGCAGACTTATTGGTTGTATTTCAGATGACATTATAAGCATTGCAAACAATCATAAACTGGTATTAAGTTACTTGGTCTGTACGTATTTTATATTATAGAACACCGTCTAATTTAAACATAAACCGTACTTTTCTGGTCATACATTATTGTTTTAGGTTTCAAGTCAATATAATTATATTATCTTACATATAATTAAAGAACCTTGAAGAAGACAAACAAAAAACTAAGGTATCCTTACCAGGGATACCTAATTAGAACAGGTGGATTACAGTACAGTACCACACTAGATAAAGTTCAGCAAAATACATATACTGTAATAATAATATAAAATGTTCAATAGCATTAGAAAGAGAAGACCACATGCAAGGTTGGAGTAAATCAGGGAACATACGCATGAAAGAAGAGGGAAGATGCACAAATATAGGTACAAAAGGAAACCAAACATGAGAAAAGCTGGATGTGAGAGTACAGAGAACGCATTAAAAATTAAAAGAATATTTGTTAAGGAAAGCCTCAAGGCTTTTCTGTTGTGGCTACTCCCAACAGAAAACTTTGTGGATGGAGAACACCAACAAACAGACAAGTTTATGTACACTGTCCTTCTAAAGTGAGAGAAAAACTACTGGGTGTAGAGAGAGAGAGACCAACATGGATAATTTCTTCAGTTACCTTCATATCAGCAACCGAGACGCTCTGGACAGCATTAGACATCTCCAGATTTGATGCACCCGATGCTTCAGCAGTGGAAGCCCTGGAGGAGCTTTCAGCAAGAGTATGGCCATTGGCTGCTGGACCTGAGGAGGATGGAGTGACCAAGGAGGCAGTAGAAGCATTACTCACCCCTGATTCTGTCCGAGACCGACTAGTAGAGCGCTCTCGGTCGTTGCCTCCAGCTCCAGTGCTGCTTTAAAATTAAAATACTAACATAAATAAAGACTTCCAATAAATATTCAGTGAAAAAATTATAACAACTACTCATCACTATGGTCCAGTTTCTCACTTTCATGAGGCAAGACAATATTTGCCTGAAGGAGATAAAAGTACAATACAAAAGGTAAAAGACATTCAAGATGACATCCATAAGACTAGTGTTGTACATGATGTCCAGGTTCACACCTATAAAATGTTTGAAAAAACACCTTAAACTCAATTCACCTATCTGTTTCCATTCCAGTTCTCATGCTAGGCTTATATTCAGTACTCACTTCCTAATACACTTATTCACTATACAGGTATTTCCCATTAATCACCTCACTTCAAGGTAAAGTCACAAGTATAATGCCTCTGTTCCAAAAAATCAAAACCTAGTATGCTTGCACAAATGCATTATAAAACCCCAAAAATGCAATGAACTCTTCAAATATATTCAAATATACAGTAGTGGAACCCCCATTATTCAAAACCCTGTTTTCTGGATTCTTGGATTACACAAACAAAATAGTTTTATTCTCTACCCTCACTAACTGGAGCATGTCCGGTTATTAGGGTTAACCCTCATTATCCATTAAATATTCTGCAGTTATCACTCCACAAACTCCCCATTTCCAATATCCTGCATTATGAGGCTGCTTGCTTTGTAATTGTTTATTCTATTCTTCAGAGTCATACAGCTAATCAGACTATGATACAAGCAAAGCCTGATTATTTTGTTATAAAAAATTTCATAGGAATTATTTTATTAGTGACCAGTTATCTTTTTATTTGGAAAAGTTTTTATGTACAAAATACAGTACTAACAAAGATGACACCTCAGGCAAGGCCATCTTGCTTCTGCAGAACACCTTTCAGACCAATAAGAAGACAAATAATATGTTAGCACTTTGTAATTGATAGTGACTATCAGATATTAAATGTGAAATCAGAGCTGGGAGAGCCAGGATCTGACTCGCCACCATTGCCCTATGTGGCCCATTGGAGCTACAATTTTATTCTATGAAGAACATGCAGTGGTTGGACTGACTTGATTCTTCATAGTAAGTAATGAAAAATCTAGATAAAAAAAATCCAGTTGGCATACAAAGAATTACCATGGATTTTTTACAAGTTAAAGGGGGAGCAGTTAAGACCCCATGGGACCTGATTAGCTGCTGTTGATTGGGAATCAGGCAGTCATTTGAGCAGCTTATTTTAAAAATGCTTGCTCAACTGGCTTGCCACTTTTTGCATGATGCAAAATAAGGAATAGCAACAGTCAAAGGAGATGCACAATGAAATCACAATAACGTGATGTATTAATGAGAAAATCAGTAGAAGCCATGATGAGGATTTGAACCAGCTCACTTGGTATTGCCAAGCAAACACCCAAGACCACTACACCCTGACATGGTCAAAAACAATCCAACCTGGAATTGACACTTCTTTTGTCAAAGAAGATTATGCGAGTTGCAGCTGCACCAGGAGTTCAGAGCTCGGGATCTACAGCTCAAGTGTTGATGTGCTGTGAAAGTTTGTCCACTGTAATTCTTCAGTTAAAAATCAAGCAACAGTCAACCTAACGTTTAAGGAGCATAACCAAGCAAATATTGCGACAGCCAGAAAAATGATAGGATGGATTACGAGAACTTTCAAATCCAGGGATCCCATCACAATGGTTGTACTCTTCAAATCACTTGTGTTGTCCCGTCTAGAGTACTGCTCAGTACTCACTTCCCCCTTCAGAGCAGGAGAGATTGCTGAAATAGAGGGAATACAGAGAACATATACGGCACGCATAGACGCAATAAAGCACCTAAATTATTGGGATCGTCTCAAAGCCCTCCAAATGTACTCACTAGAAAGAAGACGAGAGAGATATCAAATAATATACTGTACACCTAGAAGATACTGGAGAGCCAAGTACCAAATCTACACAGTAAAATAACAACGTACTGGAGTGAACGATATGGAAGAAAATGTAGAATAAAACCAGTGAAGAGCAGAGGTGCCATAGGCACAATCAGAGAACACTGTATAAACATCAGAGGTCCGCGGTTGTTCAACGTCCTCCCAGCAAGCATAAGATATATTGCCGGAACAACCGTGGACATTTTCAAGAGGAAACTAGATTTATTCCTCCAAGGAGTGCCGGACCAACCGGGCTGTGGTGGGTATGTGGGCCTGCGGGCCGCTCCAAGCAACAGCCTAGTGGACCCAACTCTCACAAGTCAAGCCTGGCCTCTGGCCGGGCTTGGGGAGTAGAAGAACTCCCAGAACCCCATCAACCAAGTATCAACCAGGATTTTTTCACATGTCAAGGTAAACTCCACTACATCCATATAGAACTACTGTATTATATCCATATTATCATCAAACCCAGAGTAAAGTAATAGTAAAACCCAGAGAGTAATAGTTTAAATCAATGTATGATGATAACCACACTTTAAGGGTTAAAGTCCTCTCACTCTTGTGATAAAATGCACAGTTAGAATAAACAGGTGAATATGATTGATGACAGAAGGTTGGGATCACCGAAACCTTTGTGAATGACGACGTGATAATTGTCATTCAAAAGAGAGTCTTTACAAGTGAATTCAGCATGATAGCAAAGCTTATTAATCATGTAAAATTTATGTTCTAGCCCAAGAAAGCTAGACTGTTGGGCATATTTAATGTCAAAGTATGAGTTGGAGGCTGATACCTTAGAATTATTATTATTCAATTACCTTACTAGTGAAGCAACGTTCAGCAGAGTACAGATGGCAAATTTTCCATGATAAGTTGGTATACTCATGGACAATTATTGCTCAGACTGTTTTTCACATAGTTAAATACGTAGCAAATATTTTCATTAAACTTCGCGTGACACAAGAATTAAAGAAACTTTAGAGGGCCTGTTCACCCATATGAGGCAGCTCCTATTTATACATTTTTTATTGTCACTTGTTCTTTTCTTTGTTGACTCTGTGAGCATGCATAAAGCAGGAACTGCAGTACCTTTGTGATGCCTCCCTTGCACTTCTGGAGCCCTGATGATCCTCTTCTGCATCAGAAAATGTCATGTTGAGCAAGATTGAAGACAACTGGTTCAGGGGCACTGATAAACTACCGTGTGTTCTTGGAATGGTACGAGGAGTGTGGCTTCGTCGTGGTAAGGTCTCTATGGGAGGTCGTAGAGTTTGATCTGGGAATAATGGGGAAATGTGTGAATTAACACATTAATAGAATTATAACATTAATACTGTAATTAAACAATTATCAAACTGAATTAATTTCATATATAACATAGCTAAAGTATGCCATAACTATATTTCAACTCTAAAAGTAAACACTTCAAATATGACATCAAGTTTCTTTGAACCCCAATATGGTACCATATATGCCATTTGATTCTTATGTATTGCACTCCACTAACAATGAACATTCAAATTTATGATGGTAAATCCTACACGTATCAAGAGTTTCTACCCCAGTTGTAGACAACAGAAAAAGCCTGCAACAGTCGAACAGTTGTGTTCTTTATATCCAGTGTAGACGTATCTTCAGATATGAGCCTAAAAAAAAAAATTGATCTATGCTCAGATGCTTAAATCAGAGTGTGCTGGGAAACGTAGTCAAAACTCAAATAACTTCCATACAGATATCACACCTTATCTGTGCAGTGTCTATAACAGATTTGGCATGGAAATTCTGGGAGGCACCCTAGAGATTAACTTCACTAAACAAAATCGGGGCAGAGAAATTCCTAATGAAGTAATCAAGATACTCCTAAACTAATGTCACACAAAAAAGGGAAAAAAATCTCTTCCACAAAACCACAAGGGTTCTAAGGCAAAAATACAATGGCCCAACAGAAAATATGGGACCACCTGCTATTCAATAGCACATCCAGGAAATGAAGCAGAATCAAGCCTAAACAGAGCACGGTCCATTTCAATGCACATTTTTCATCCTTTAATTAACCCTTAAACTGCGCAAAGCGCCTGCAGGCTCACGTCTGGTTTGCGCAACGCGCCTCCGGGTATTTGTATTTTTCACGTTCCATTCAAAACTCCCGCGGCTACGTGGGGTTCACATCAGCTTCCTCAGGGCTCTTGTAAACAGACGCCATCTTTAAAAAAAATCGTGGTCCACATTCCCGGGTGTGGGAACCTCAGTAGTGTGTGAGCAACCAAGGCTGGCGCTCGCAGCATGAGCGCACAGCACTGCTGTTCAGCATGTGACCACAGCATCGCCTAATAATGCCAAAATATATATATAACTTGTATTATTTAGCTATGATAGTGTTATATTAGAGCCTGAGTGTGATAATGACTGGGTACAATGTTCAAATATCAGTGATTCAATGCTGTTCACGATGTTCACAGCGCTAGCCACAGCACCACAGCATTATTTCGTTCATCTAGGAATCTTCAAATGATTTCTTAGGTTCCTTTTCAAAATAAACGTGTGGTCAATTATTCATTTACAGGAATTAGTGACCAGGAATGTGATAATAGCAGGATTGTGGTTATAATTAGCGTTGTGCGTAGTATTGTGGAAGGAGGAATTTTGATGAGGGAGGGCGATAATTGAGGTAGCCTCATTGTGTGTGTGTGGCTGCCACTCTTGTTTTGCTCACCATACTAGCTTAGTGGTTCGCTATGGGCAACACATATGTACATGGGTATATATAGTGTGTGTATATAGTGTAAGAACAGCAACAGGAGAATGTTGAGAGGAGCTATTTCGGTGAGGGAGGTGACGTAATCGTAGCGTCGTCTGCTGTGTGATTTTTCATGCAGTGTATGGTGGCCACTGTACTGTTTGGACACAATACCGGCTTACTTCCATAGTTCTGGTAAATAAAACATGTAGATAGGTATATAGAACATGTGTAATAAGAACTATAATAATATGGTGGGAGGAACAATGTTGGCGAGTAAGATGTTGGAGTGAGGGAGACTGGCTGGGTGAGGCTGCTCTCACTCGAGGTGTTCTGAATGTGTTCATGGTCAAATGCTCCTATTGGCCCATACGAGGCAGCTGCTATTGGCCCATACGAGGCAGCTGCTATTGGCCCATACAAGGCAGCTGCTATTGGCCCATACGCGGCAGCTGCTATTGGCCCATACGAGGCAGCTGCTATTGGCCCATACGAGGCAGCTGCTATTGGCCCATACGGGGCAGCTGCTATTGGCCCATACGAGGCACCTGCTATTGGCCCATACGGGGCACCTGCTACTGGCCCATACGGGGCAGCTGCTATTGGCCCATACGGGGCAGCTGCTATTTGCCCATACGAGGCAGCTGCTATTGGCCCATACGAGGCAGCTGCTATTGGCCCATACGAGGCAGCTGCTATTGGCCCATACGAGGCAGCTGCTATTGGCCCATACGAGGCAGCTGCTGTTGGCCCATACGGGGCAGCTGCTGTTGGCCCATACGAGGCAGCTGATATTGGCCCATACGAGGCAGCTGCTATTGGCCCATATGAAGCAGCTGCTACGCGGTGTTCTGAATGTGTTGATGGTGAATGTATATAGTGTGTAAATAGATTGTATATATACACAAATTAGCATGATACATAGTAAATATGTGCTGCATATGTGCGCACAAGTTTCATGCACGTAACACAGTGTCTACGGACAGTACGGATGTTGTACTGCGATATTATAGTGTACGTGTTCATTATACATTGGATTGGCACATAAAAACAATGAAAATGTATTTGGAAAGGTGCGCAAAAAATGAACGAAAATATATTCGCGGCAACTCGCGCACCCCGCCCCGAGCGCCCCACCGCCCCCGAGAGCTTACGGCACGGGCGCACGGGGAATGATGACGTCACGCCCCAACTTCCGGACCCCATAGCAGCCAAAGTAAGTACAATTTCGACTTTTTTTTACATACCCATACTGAGGGAAGGGTTTTTGACACTTTAAAAAGAAAAAAGAATTTTTTCCAGAGAATTTATTTCCTGCGCACTGTGGGGGTGTCACATTTGGAGGCAACGCAGTTAAGGGGTTAAGAAGAAAAATTACAAAAATAGTTTTTCTTATAGAATGATTAATTTGGATGCAGAATGTAATGAGAAGTGGAAATAAACTGAATACAGGTGTACTATATGAATTTGGTTATCCAAAGCCTACTGAACCGAATATTTGTGCTATCATCCCAAAATCACATCCAAATAATTTTCTGGAAAAACTTTCCCATATTCAGACAGAAATCCGGATAACCAGAGATGAGGCTACATAAATTTTCAAGAACTACACATTTTAATTAAGATCTACAGTATCAAACAAGAACAACAACTACAACAAGGTAGGCAAAAGTTTGTTTTAAATTATGTATTTTTTATTTATAGTGTGTGGAAATTCAAATTATGGTTGGTTGTGGTACAACAAATTGTGAATTGATCATTTTTAGACTTTCTCAATAAGAATTCTGCTTATCCGGATGTCTGGCGTATTCAGTGAGGGATGTCTGACTTATTCAGTTCATATAATCCTGATAAGTGAGCTTAGAAAGTATCTACATTGTAATTGGTTTCATACATTGTACGAGTTGATCGTGAGGCAGCCCAGCCCCACCTGTCAAAGCCAAAGTATGTTGTCAGCAACACACCTTGGATGTCTAGACAATCATATGTATGAATGTATGAATTTATGTATGTAAGAATGAATGTACTCACCTAGATGTACTCACCTAGTTGTGTTTGCGGTGGGTTGAGCTCTGGATCTTTGGTCCTGCCTCACAAACCGTCAATCAACAGGTGTACAGATTCCTGAGCCTATCGGGCTCTATCATATCTACACTTGAAACTGTGTATGGAGTCAGCCTCCACCACATCACTTCCTAATGCATTCCATTTGTCAACCACTCTGACACTAAAAAAGTTCTTTCTAATATCTACAAAAATGTGTATATCAATGAATGTATGAATGCATAAATGAATGTACAGTATGTATCAAAAAGAACTAAGGAAACTGCAAAAAGGCTTATTGCCCCATATATATATGAATCTGGGCCAGGATTTTTTCACATGTCAAGGTAAACTCCACTACATCCATATAGAACTACTGTATTATATCCATATTATCATCAAACCCAGAGTAAAGTAATAGTAAAACCCAGAGAGTAATAGTTTAAATCAATGTATGATGATAACCACACTTTAAGGGTTAAAGTCCTCTCACTCTTGTGATAAAATGCACAGTTAGAATAAACAGGTGAATATGATTGATGACAGAAGGTTGGGATCACCGAAACCTTTGTGAATGACGACGTGATAATTGTCATTCAAAAGAGAGTCTTTACAAGTGAATTCAGCATGATAGCAAAGCTTATTAATCATGTAAAATTTATGTTCTAGCCCAAGAAAGCTAGACTGTTGGGCATATTTAATGTCAAAGTATGAGTTGGAGGCTGATACCTTAGAATTATTATTATTCAATTACCTTACTAGTGAAGCAACGTTCAGCAGAGTACAGATGGCAAATTTTCCATGATAAGTTGGTATACTCATGGACAATTATTGCTCAGACTGTTTTTCACATAGTTAAATACGTAGCAAATATTTTCATTAAACTTCGCGTGACACAAGAATTAAAGAAACTTTAGAGGGCCTGTTCACCCATATGAGGCAGCTCCTATTTATACATTTTTTATTGTCACTTGTTCTTTTCTTTGTTGACTCTGTGAGCATGCATAAAGCAGGAACTGCAGTACCTTTGTGATGCCTCCCTTGCACTTCTGGAGCCCTGATGATCCTCTTCTGCATCAGAAAATGTCATGTTGAGCAAGATTGAAGACAACTGGTTCAGGGGCACTGATAAACTACCGTGTGTTCTTGGAATGGTACGAGGAGTGTGGCTTCGTCGTGGTAAGGTCTCTATGGGAGGTCGTAGAGTTTGATCTGGGAATAATGGGGAAATGTGTGAATTAACACATTAATAGAATTATAACATTAATACTGTAATTAAACAATTATCAAACTGAATTAATTTCATATATAACATAGCTAAAGTATGCCATAACTATATTTCAACTCTAAAAGTAAACACTTCAAATATGACATCAAGTTTCTTTGAACCCCAATATGGTACCATATATGCCATTTGATTCTTATGTATTGCACTCCACTAACAATGAACATTCAAATTTATGATGGTAAATCCTACACGTATCAAGAGTTTCTACCCCAGTTGTAGACAACAGAAAAAGCCTGCAACAGTCGAACAGTTGTGTTCTTTATATCCAGTGTAGACGTATCTTCAGATATGAGCCTAAAAAAAAAAATTGATCTATGCTCAGATGCTTAAATCAGAGTGTGCTGGGAAACGTAGTCAAAACTCAAATAACTTCCATACAGATATCACACCTTATCTGTGCAGTGTCTATAACAGATTTGGCATGGAAATTCTGGGAGGCACCCTAGAGATCAACTTCACTAAACAAAATCGGGGCAGAGAAATTCCTAATGAAGTAATCAAGATACTCCTAAACTAATGTCACACAAAAAAGGGAAAAAAATCTCTTCCACAAAACCACAAGGGTTCTAAGGCAAAAATACAATGGCCCAACAGAAAATATGGGACCACCTGCTATTCAATAGCACATCCAGGAAATGAAGCAGAATCAAGCCTAAACAGAGCACGGTCCATTTCAATGCACATTTTTCATCCTTTAACTAGAACTACAACGAAACCCGTGCTGAATGTAATGAAAAGCCTTTATTTTTTTATAGATCTTTGCTGGCTCCTTGTTAATAGCTAACTGGCAAGCTCCACCTTTATCAATCCACACTTGACCCATGCAAGTCATAAATATGCCTACTGGGGATGGGGGGGCCAGAGGCCAAAATGTGGGTCCCCCCCCCCCCTAAAGAGGCACAAGCAGCAAGGGGGATCATAAATCACCCTAACCAAGAAAAGACATCAGAAAGATGAGTGAACCAAGAGAGACAAACAGCAAGGTAAACAAAGCATGGAAAATGGGACAGCGTAGCACTGAGATTCCTGAACTACTTGGTGAGGAATATCTCATTAGTTTCACCCATGCATCACCAAGTGACTGTGGCGTAACTTCCCCCTCGATCCACCACTGTTGAACCCTCAGTCATATAGCCAAAAAGATGGAGAACAGAAGCTGTAGGAGACAGGAGGATCCCACGGAGCCAAGAAGGACCCACTAGGAAGAGGCATTTCATCACATTAAACTCTGGTTGTCTGGGTGAGCTCATTAGTGTTATGATACAAGAGAGAAAAACAAAGAAGGGTATTCTCCTAGGGCACGGGAGTTTCAGACTGAGCAAAAGTTCCTAAGCCTGAATATCTGCTCAAGACATATTCTAAAAGCCTTTGGACCAAGCTGTAAGCTAATGATCATAATGGGCCCAAGGGTAGACTGTAGGCTAGCTAAACTTGATGACACTGTGGACAAGCCAAGACAATCAAGCCATGGAACAAGGAACCAAAGACACTGGCTTCACACAGAGAGCATTTCCCCCCATGCACCACTAGCAGAGTGAAAGTAACAGAGTATGACCACAACCAGACAAAATGAATGATGCATCCCCTGGCCAAACCAAATAAGCATTAATCACCAAAGGGCCCCTCCAGAAACTAGTCATCTCATACCTGGCCAGAAAGGAAAGGAGAGATCTGTAAATGAATAAAATGCTCCCCTATGACCAAAAAAGCAAAATTTCTACTTACGGAGGAGAGCAAGCAAAGCTCCCCTACGTGACAACCAGAAGCACGGGCCAACATGAAACCCTTAAGCAATCCTGGACCAAAGGAGTGAGAAAGAATATAAAGGAAATTGAAAACCAAAGCCTTGTACAAAGACCAGGATGGCTAAGGCCAGAGATGAAAAAATGCCCAAGACAACTTGTGAAATGAGGTCAACGAAACACTGACATTCAATTCCAACAGCAGCAGCTCCACCAAGGTCAAACAATACAAGGGAAAAAGTATTCGGCATGAGAAGCCCATCCACAACCAAAATAAAACAATTGGACCACAGATACACAGATACCATGCATAAGCCACTAAGAAAAAAAGAGAAAATGGAGCACCAAGAAACTTCATATGTTTGCTACAACAAAACCTGCAAGAAACACACCAAAAAGATCAGCCACCTTCTGACCATGAAAAGAATGATATACGAGTCAAAAACTTCAAACAAGTAGAACTATGAATCATCGAGAAACATCTCTTGGTCTAGCTACTGAAAGAGGTGGAGGTGCAGAACACGATGCAGGTTTGGACGATAGGTCCAAAGGGCAGGAAACCATGGCTAGGTTGGTGAAAATGGAAACAGAAGGAGAAACATGCCAAAGAATGGCTTCGATTTGGCCTAAACCTGGAGCAACTACTAAACCAGAGGGAAGATATGAAGAAATACACACTAATTCCAGTCCAGCTTATAGGCATCCACTATGAGAGCCTAGCTATCTGGAATGGATGTGAGTTCTACATAAACTGGAAGTCACTGCTTCCATGCCAATGAGAAGAGGTTCACCTTGGGGCGGTGAAAGTCTTGCAATGCCAATGGAAGCACAATGTCGTTGACAGACCACTCTGTTGCAATGGGGCAAAAATGAAATGTTCATCAATTCACCTGAAATCTGAACCTAGTGAGCAAGGAAAGAGCCAGATATATGGCTTGCAGATGCATAGTCTGGCTGGGAGCTGCAGACTCTATAGACTATCTTCCAGAAGGTATAGACTCATTTCCTTTCAAAGTTCGCTGATGATGCTAAAATTATGAGAAGGATAAAGACAGAGGAAAAGAGACTACAAGATAATCTGGACAAACTAAAGGAGTGGTCTAGCAAATGGCTACCAGAGTTTACTCAAGTGTAAAGTAATGAAAATGGGTGAAGGGAGCAGAGGCCTAACACAAGGTACCACATCTGGGAGGTGAAATCCTTCAAGAAACAGGTTGAGAAAAAGATCTGGGCATTGATAACGCACCAAACCTCTCCCCAGAAGCCCACTTCAAAAGGTTATCATTAGTGGCATATGCTAGGTTGGTGAACATAAGAACTATCTTTAGAAACTTATGTAAGGAATCATTTAGACCCATGTACTGTATACCACATACATTAGACCAATCTTAGCATATGCAACTCCAGCCTGGAGTCCATACCTAGTTAAACACAAGACAAAGTTGGAAAAAGATTCAGAGGTATGCCACCAAACTAGTCCCTAAGCTAAGTAGTATGTTATATAAGGAAAGGCTATGGGAATTAAATTTCACAGCAAGAAAATGGGTCAAATCATACTGGCTAGGAAAGAGACCAAAAGAATGAGTGTGTGAGACTAGACCGACACTCACAAATGCCACCCTCCAGAATGGGGCTAGCTCAATGGTAGAATGAACCCCAACCTTCCCCCTCACCGGGAAGAAACTAAGTAACACATGAGAAGTATGTGTTACTTACATACATGTGTAACACATGTATGTGTATATGTTAAAGCTGGTAAGAATTGCATTTCACCTTTGTAAATGCACATTAATCACATCTAGTGGTTGAATATTCAATAACCAATTGTAGTACTGTACAGTATATGTAAGTGAACACATCTCAAACCCTGATTATGTAGGACAGCCATAAATATGTATTGTATGTATGCTGGTTAGCATTGTTAGAGAACCTACAACCTGTGGTTGAGTGCTCAATAACTCTTTACACAATAGATCTCTAACAGATCTTTAACCCTGTCCACAGAAGACAGAAGAAAATGTATGTATGCTGGTTAGCATTGTAAATGTATGACAACATCACAGAAAAAAAAAAACTATCACAGGTCAGCACAACACACTATCAGACAGATAAAGGTTAGCACAACATATATTAACAGTAGGCCAATAGTATGTCAACACAGCCCACCAACATTTGGACAGATCAGTATGATACTAGGAAGAAGGTCAACATAAAATACCAATATTAGGGCACTTGACACAAAAGACACCAGCACTAGCTAAGAGAGAAGGTGGTGGAGGCCAAAACTGTAAGTAGTTTCAAAGCATTATTAAGACCGAGATATAGGTCGATGCAATTAGATATGACTAGGTACACAAGTGACCTAGATACAGTACCTGGGCTGTGGAGCAGGTTGACGCTGGTGGGATCAGAGCGGTGGTGATGTTGGCCCAGTAAATGTTGCTCCCTCTCCAGTAATGCCTCGATCTCCTCCCAATCCTCCTGCAACAAATTAAATGCATCTGTAACAAACTTTACTGAAAAGTTCATGTCAGTGTCCATCAAGAATACAAAGAATCGCCTGAAGCAGAACCCTTCTTTGGCAACATTCCACCACTATAAAATGGCTTTGTAATGTTAACGACCTTTTGATCAAACAACACTTATTATCTGGATAAATTTAGTAACAGACTTTGAAGTAGAACCCACTATATAGTTCCTTACAGAGTCTATTGAAATGAATCTACAAAAACTACCCTGTTCACTATCAATAGCATTTATAACTAATAGTGCACAACATTGCACTAGATATGAGAAAAGGGGAAATGTAGTTCCAATATTCAAGAAAGGAGACATATGTATCACTAAATCATAGACCAGTGTCATTAACATGTATGCTATGCAAAAAGCTGTAAAAAATCATCAAAAGGATTGTAGAACATTTGGGAGGGCAAAATTTATAACCACCACAACACGGCTTCAAATAGAAAATAATTTCTAACTAGACTAACTTTCCATGACAGGGTCTGGTTGATACCTGGTTGATGGGGTTCTGGGAGTTCCTCTACTCCCCAAGCCCGGCCCGAGGCCAGGCTTGACTTGTGAGAGTTTGGTCCACTAGGTTGTTGCTTGGAGTAGCCCGCAGGCCCACATATCCACCACAGCCCGGTTGGTCCGGCACTCCTTGGAGGAAACAATCTAGTTTCCTCTTGAAGATGTCCTCAGTTGTTCCGGCAATATTTCTTATGCTCGCTGGGAGGACGTTGAAACCTCGCGGACCTCTGATGTTTATACAGTGTTCTCTGATTGTGCCTATGGCACCTCTGCTCTTCACTGGTTCTATTCTGCATTTTCTTCCATATCCTTCACTCCAGTGTGTTGTTATTTTACTGCATAGATTTGGGACCTGGCCCTCCAGTATTTTCCATGTGTACATTATTTGGTATCTCTCTCATCTCCTTTCCAGTGAGTACATTTGGAGAGCTTTGAGACGATCCCAATAATTTAGGTGCTTTATCGTATCTATGCATGCCGTGTATGTTCTCTGTATTCCCTTTATTTCAGCAATCTCTCCTGCTCTGAAGGGGGAGGCGAGTACTGAGCAGTACTCAAGACGGGAACTTGCACCTTGCACAAGTGACTTGAAGAGTACAACCATTGTGATGGGATCCCTGAAAAGTTCTTGCATTTTGAAAGTTCTTGTAATTCATCTGATCATTTTTCTGGCTGCCGCGATATTTGCTTGGTTATGCTCCCTAAACGTTAGATCGTCGGACATCATTATTCCCAAATCCTTGACATGCTGTTTTTCTACTATGGGAAGATTCAATTGTGTTTTGTACCCTGTATTATGTTTCAGATCCTCATTTTTGCCGTACCTGAGTACCTGAAATTTATCACTGTTAAATATCATGTTATTTTCTGCTGCCCAATCGAAAACTTTGTTGACATCTGCTTGTAATTTTTCAATGTCTTCAGCAGAGGTAATTTTCATGCTGATTTTTGTGTCCTCTGCGAAGGATGACACGAAGCTGTGACGTGTATTTTTGTCTATATCTGATATGAGAATAAGGAACAGTAGCGGTGCAAGGATTGTACTTTGAGGTACAGAGCTTTTAACTGTGCTTGGACTCGGTTTTATTTGATTGACTGTTACTCTTTGTGTTCTGTTCGACAGGAAATTGAGTATCCAGCGTCCTACTTTTCCAGTTATTCCCATTGATCTCATTCTGTGTGCTATCACCCCATGGTCATATTTGTCGAACGCCTTTGCAAAGTCTGTGTATACAACATCTGCATTTTGCTTTTCTTCTAGAGCTTCTGTGATTTTGTCATAGTGCTTGAGTAACTGTGACAGACAGGATCTTCCTGCTCTAAATCCATGTTGTCCTGGGTTGTGCAACTCATTGTTTTCCGTAAAATTAGAAATTTGATTTCTAATCACTCTTTTAAACACTTTTATTATGTGTGATGTTAGTGCAACTGGCCTATAATTTTTTGCTAAGGCTTTATTTCCCCCCCCCCCCCTTGTGCAAAGGAGCTATATCTGCAGATCTAAGTGCTGCTGGTATCTCCCCTGTATCTAGGATCTTTCTCCATATTACGCTGAGTGCTCTCGCTACTGGTACTTTACATTTCTTTATGAATATTTAATTCCTTGAGTTAGGTCCAGGAGCTGAGTGCATAGGCATATTGTCAATTTCTCTTTCAAAGTCTTTCGAGTTTGTGGTAATATTCGTTATATTATCTGCAGCTTGAATGTCATTCATAAAGAAGCTGTCTGGGTCATCAACTTTCATGTTGTTTTTTGGTGTGCTAAACATAGCCTCATACTGGCTTTTTAGAATTTCACTAATCTCTTTGTTGTCCTCTGTGTACGTACCTTCATTTGTAATTAACTGTCCAATACTGGTTGAGGTTTTTAATTTTGATTTTGCGTATGTGAAAAAATATTTAGGATTTTTGTATAGCTTGTATAGCTTTCTGTTCCAATTCCATTTCCTCAGACTCATATAATCGCTTCAACATTTTTTCTATTTCATGTGCACTGTGTAATTACTTAAGTGTAATTACCTAAGTGTAGTTACAGGATGAGAGCTACGCTCTTGGTGTCCCGTTTACCTAGCACTCTTTGTCATATAATGCTATGAAACTACTGACCGTTGTCACTCTTTGTCATATAATGCTATGAAACTACTGACCGTTTTGGCCTCCACCACCTTCTCACCTAACTTGTTCCAACTGTCTACCACTCTGTTTACAAAAGTGAATTTTCTTATATTTCTTTGGCATCTGTGTTTAGCTAGTTTAAACCTATGACCTCTTGTTCTTGAAGTTCCAGATCTCAGGAAATCTTCCCTATCGATTTTAGCAATTCCTGTTACTATTTTGTACGTAGTGATCATATCACCTCTTTTTCTTCTGTCTTCTAATTTTGGCATATTTAATGCCTCTAACCTCTCCAGGTAGCTCTTGCCCTTCAGTTCTGGGAGCCACTTAGTAGCATGTCTTTGCACCTTTTCCAGTTTGTTGATGTGCTTCTTAAGATATGGGCACCACAAAACCGCTGCATATTCTAGCTTTGGCCTAACAAAAGTCGTGAACAATTTCTTTAGTATTTTGACATTCATGTATTTAAAAGCAATTCTGAAGTTAGAAGCTTACCCATCACTCCTCCAATATTTTCCAGTTTACAGAACAACTTCTTACGTGGAACTCTGTCGAAAGCCTTTTTTTAGGTCCAGATAGATGTAGTCAACCCAACCATCTCTTTCCTGTAATATCTCTGTGGCTCGATCATAGAAACTGAGTAAATTCGATACACAGAATCTTCCAGATCGAAAACCATACGGTCTGTCTGATATTATATCATTTCTCTCCAGGTGTTCTACCCATTTAGTTTTGATTAGTTTTTCCAATACTTTCACTATTACACTTGTCAATGATACAGGTCTATAATTGGGGGGGTTTTCCCTGCTGCCACGTTTGTAGATTGGAACTATGTTAAGCCTGTTTCCACACGTCTGCTACGATTCCTGTACACAGGGAAGCCTGAAAGATCAGGTGAAGTGGAATGCTGAGCTCAGATGCACATTCTCTCAGAATCCATGGTGAAACTCCATCTGGGCCAACTGCTTTATTCTTACTTAGCTCCTTTAGCATATTTTCCACTTCATCTCTAGACACCTCTATGTGCTCTATGTGGAATTCTTATTGTGTCTGGTTCTCTGAAGATCTTATTTTGTACAAACACACTTTGGAACTTTTTGTTTAAATGTTTTACACATTTCCTTTTCATTTTCTGTGTGTGTGTGTGTGTTATATATATATATATATATATATATATATATATATATATATATATATATATATATATATATATATATATATATATATATATATATATATAACCTAACCTATATATATATATATATATATTATATATATATATATATATTTTAACTCCATATATATCATACATAGAAATGATATACAAACATACACAGACATATGACGTTAGAAATATTTTTTTCAGTGTCAGTAGTTAATAAATGGAACGCACTAGGAAGTGATGTGGTGGAGGCTGACTCCATACACAGTTTCAAATATAGGTATGTTAGAGCCCAGTAGGCTCAGGAATCTGTACACCAGTTGATTGACGGTTGAGAGGCGGGACCAAAGAGACAAAGCTCAACCCCACCCAGCAAGCACAACTAGATGAGTACACACACACACACACACATGATAATTGACAATTGAGAGGCGGGACCAAAGAGCCAGAGCTCAACCCCCGCAAGCACAACTAGGTGAGTACACACACACACACATGATAATAGACAGTTGAGAGGCGGGACCAAAGAGCCAGAGCTCAACCCCCGCAAGCACAATTAGGTGAGAACACACACACACATCACCTGACTGCGCACTAGGGAATACAGATGTAACAATTTTAAGCAGTCCCAATAATTTAGATGTTCTATTGATTAGACTCTGACAGTTAAATTTCTCTGCATGTTCTCCAGGTCAGCAATTTATCAAGCCTTGAATAGGGTTGTTATTATGCAACAATATTCGACCCTTGAGAGCACTAGTGTCCTAAAACACATAATTAGGCCGGCAACTCTTTGTTTGAAAGGTTCTTGTTATCCAACCTGTCATTTTTCTTGCAGTTGTGACAGCTACTTTATTGTGTTCTTTAAAAGTAAGGTTTTCCCACATGATTACAGTATACTCGAGACAACCAGATAAAAATGAACGATGGAATTTCTGTATTGTGACGACAGCGTGCAAATGTAACGCCCTCAACAGGAAGATTGTGGAAGTTAACTTCATACAAGGAATCAGATATAGATATGACAAAACCCACAATGTTAGAGAGCCACTGAACAGTTGTAAATGACCAAGAGGCTGGCCCTGGAGTTGGAACTCACTCCAAGCACGTTTCATACATACCCTCTACAGCAAATCTTGTGCTCAAACATGAATTTCCCATAAGAAAAAGA